ATATAGCGCTATTTCTATCGCTATCAATAGCGTTAGAAAACCACCAAAACTAGCTCAAAGTATTTAAAAGCGACAAAACAGTTAAAAACAATAGAAATCGACCAAAACGTTATGCATATTTGAAACCTAAAAATAATGCACAACGTTAAAATTTGTCTTATTAAAAACTAGAAATTCCAAATTTCGGAAACATGCCTGGGGAAATATGGTCGCCACGGAAACATAAGGTACTGAAGCAATGACCTGTCGCACCAAATTGTTCCAGATAAAAAAGCATAATTAACGAAGATTATTGAGTTTGGAGGTCAATGATATATGCATGCAAAGTTACAAGCGTCATTGCAAGTCTCAAGTAATGGAAGAGTGTCGAGCACACTCGATACGATATATATCTGTTTATCTCATTAAGACAAGAAAATGACAGGTTTTTGGCCAGGTAAATAGCCAGTGTAACTACCACCACGAAAACTAATTATTAGCCAAATGTTGTCATTAACTATAAGCATTGCAAATTGACAGTTTCCGATTCATTAGTAACGGATGTAAGATTGAAAACGGCATATTTATATCCACAAAATAAAAGGTTTTTATGATTGTTTACAGCCTCAGGGAATTTGCTAACAATTCGCATTAAGTCTTGCCCAGTAAATTGTTTATTGCTGGTCTTAATTGTGTGTTTGATGGTTTGCTCATCAAAGTTCACTTTTATAAAAACAACATTCTACCAAGTGTGAGGTCAATTGCAGTATTATTCGTGGTCATCTGTGTGTTTCACGGGGTCCGTTTTTGGCGTTCATGATCGTATTGAATTGAATCCAATCATTTACGACATATTTCACAACAAATAATTTGTCAAGTTCAATTTCAATTAAGATTTCTTGCGTTCTCAAATCAATCATGTGTATACTTTGCATTGTATGCTCGGGTAATTGCATGCATATATACAAGGGCTGAAAAATATACGGTTTTGCTGATCGTATCTAGAAACATTTTGACAAAAATGGATGATAAAATTTACAACTTATAAGCTAACCCATGGTCTGTTTTTTTCAGCAACTGGTTCTCACAGCCAAATATTTCAAATGGCAAAATGAACAAACACGGTTTATTAGCGACAACGATACCCCGCAAAAATTTGCTTTCGAGATTTTTCATTTTTTTTTTGAAAACAGCCCCAGTTTATCCTCTAATTATTTGCCTTCCCTTTAAAGGTAGAAGCTTACAGTAATCTATATTTTGTCGCAATGCAATTAACTTTGAAAGGAGAAGTTAAAGCACTTGTCGATAATTAATAAAAAGCCGCGGAGATTGCTATCCACAAAGAATATAAATATGCATATACTTGTCACCAGACTTTGACATTTTCATTTGGTGATTACGAGTATTAACTTCTTACATCCAGATAATATAGTAATTTCTCAACAGGGCAAAGAAATTCAGTTTGCAGTAATTGCCTGATGTAGTTGGAACAAGAAAAGTCAAAGCTTTAATATAAGTACTCCGGCGAAGGGAGAAACAAGGATACACCTAATTACTCAGCTCCAAGCTACTTGTTTGAAGCCTTTGCTTGAATTTTTGACTTGGAAGAGCTTCCCAATCAGGTGGGCACAGAGATTATTAAAATAGCCTTTCTTTGAGAGTATATTAATGTTCTATGAGGAACGAAGATGATATAACAGTAGCTAATAGGAGTCACTTTGAGTTAAACTTAAAATTAAAATAAAAACCGCTTCCTCTTCTCTGCAGCATATAAAGTTATTATTATACAATTACCATGTTTTTTTTATAAATTTTTGCATGAAGTCGAATTAAAGCATATAGAAGCAAAATTATCATATATACGATGGCTTTGAAAGACTTTTAGACATCTATATATTGAGTTCTTTCAATTATTCCAACGTTGCAGTATCTCGGGAAATTTGACGTGCACAGACGGGCACGAACGAACACTTAACCAATTCTTTGATATGCACTGACAAATATATGACATCCCAAGAGAGGAAGGAGCGAAACGTTTTGTTCTTTTGAACTTTTCTCGCCGATCTCGAGGGTCTAAATAGATCAGTTGTGAGGTAAACTTTCAGTTCAGGTTTGTTGACTAGTTCGGTCAATTTTTTAATTAAATTTTAAATTCAAACCAATATTGTTGCAGGCTATAACAATAAAAATATTTATTCATATACAATTTAAATTTCGGCCCCTGGAACCCGTCAGCGACAGATAGGATAAATGGAAAGCTGGACCCGTTTACATAACTTTTACTGAAAAATATTTTAGGAAAGCCTAAGTACGGTGAGAATTTATCTTATTTTGTTCCCTTTAATTACCATTCTTAAATTAATTTAACAGTTAATTTCGAAGTTCAATTATATTTCTGTAAAAACGTAGTAAAAGAACTCCGTGGGATATCGTACTTATTGTCTTCATTGTCATTGCATATGCACCTTATGAGCCCGTAGGACTGGACTTCACACAGGCTGATTCATTAACCAATTGGGTGATTGTGTTTCCGTGACTCAGTTTGTGGATAAGGTTTGCCGGACACGACCCATCCCGCTTTCGCCACTTCAGTGTTAAGATCTGGTCTCACGGTCAAGAAACATCTTTAAACATCAGGCAAGTACTTTTAATATTTTTATCTATTGTTTTTAAAATAGCTCTAAGCCTCTCAGTGGCACTATTCCGACTTCATCATGTATTCCCACAAATCACTCATTTGGTTACTGGTATAATGGCCATATCTCTTCCACTTTGTTTCTCACAAGAAATTAAAGTTATTTTTTTAAAAAAACATCGCACCCAAGCTTGCTTGCTGGTTATATTAATCAGATTGACAATCGACGTTGACTTCAAATCCATCAGCGACACCCGTTAAAGCGTTTTTTTATGGTTTTACCTTAATGTTCACCGTAAAGTTATAAATTATTTTAAGGTTGTACATATATGCATAATTTATTTAAAAAGTAGACCACACATTTTCAAGGAGTACCGGCGTAATAACCCCCCTGGGAAATCGGTAGCGCAAACAAAAGCTTGTAAATTACGAAAGAAAGCGAGCCAGTTAGAAGCCTTGAGATAGTTCTTGCAGCACCGAACGATATCCAAAGGAGTCTATGAACCTAAGAAATGCTCGAAATTTTGTTTTTATTAAAAAAATGCGGATGTGGTTTAGCGGTGTACGGTCAAAAACGATGGACCAATTAGAGCGATAACAATATTTTCAGGTTTCATGCAAACCTTTCTATTGCCAAGCTTTTCGTGAATGTTGCTATTTTTTTTTGCATCACTCTTTTTGATTCTCAGTCATTTTAATTTTATATTTGCGCCATGTAATGACCTTATTTAATAAAACCCATACGTCCTCAACGGTATAATAAAAATAAATTTTACCTAATAATGTGATGATTACTTTTTTCGTTAAACGACAGTCATTTTTGGCTTCTATGACTTGAGAAAATCTGTAAAGGAAAGACCAGTTTTCTTATTTCGTGCTTTTTTGGAAAATATGTTTTGAATTTAAGTTACCACTTGCTGGGACTGACGAGTTCCAACGCCATTGTTGTCCAACGCCACCGTGTTTTTCGTTTCCGTTCCTTTTCGCCTCGTGATTACCATACCAGGTGAGTTCTAATTATTTTGCGAGATAAAGAACCCAATTTAATTTTTTTTTTTTGAAAAACATCATTAAGTTGACCCCTTAGTTGCGACTTGCGAATGTCAGATGAAAATGTAAAACAACTGAAAAGAACATAATTTCGAGTTAATGTTTCATCTATCAACCAAACTTCTGTTTTTGACCCGTTTCTTGAATTGATTTCTCAGAATATCGTTCCATTTTACTGAATTTTCTGCGTGCTGAGTCTTAATGATCATTTTTTTAAACTCAACAACAAGCAGACCTTCCTTTTGAAGAGACCACGTGAATTCTAACGTACATACCAAGAAAACGTTCCAAAAGTTTCTTAGAAAAAGCCAGAAGCGTGGCAATTCTCAACATTATACTAGAGTGAACTTCTGTCAGGCATTTTCAATTTATGCAAATATGGCTCATGTCACGGGTGTTTGACGCGAGTCTTTCTTCGAAATCTTCCAAATTCATTACACTTTTTTAAAAATAAATTCGGTTAAAACGTAACGTAAAGCCTCCATCGGGCCATCAAAATTTGAAAACTAGTTTGATCACGATGACACAAACTCGGTTAAACCGGGTATGCCTCACTGCAATAAACAAACAAAAAAAAAACAACAACAACAACAACAACGAAAGACATTTAAAAGGGACCCTCCTGCCTGGTTATATAAAGGAGCACTTTTATTTAGCAGTAGCATTCTTGACCATTCTTTCCTTCTCTTATCCAGTTGATGTTTCGAACAGATATTCCTTAAACGTCGACAACAGAAACTTACTTATACACATGTACTTGCAGTTTGAGATTCACCCTGTTGTGAAAGTAGGAAAAAAACGCCTTCGTGTATTTTCGTTGATTGCTAAAGGCATCTACCAGTGAAACACAAGCAGAGCGATAATTTAAGCAGCCATTATCTACTCTAATTGAACTCAGATTTCCCCAAAATTCCCAGCACTTCTTGCCAGATTGGCTTCCTTGAGGCCCCGGGGAAGGTACTTTGGGAATTTCTGGGTGGGGATGTGCCGCTGGGACCCTGGAACCCTTAGCCTATACCAGAGCTAGTTCAGCTGAATTTTGCTAACCTATACTAGAGTAAACTCCCCAAATTCCCCCATCTATCGACACTGTTGAGGCTGATTTGCGTAAATTTAAACTTGCCGATTTAATTTTTTTTATATTTTTGAGTGGCAATTCCTGGTTTCCTTACGTTAGATAAAATCTTCAACCAACCAGTCAGGTTTGTGAAAAATGATACCCTATTCTAGACCCAAACGCTCTGATTTATATACCCTATCCTAGAGTAAACTGCTCGAAAACCATACCCTTCACACCGGCACATACCTATGTAGCCAATATATGGCAGTGCCCCCACCCCCTCCGGGCTTGAGACCTGGATTTCAAGGAGACGCAGAAAGATTTCGTAGAGTGTAGGTGACTGTTATTCTCAAGCCGTGTAACAATTGTTTGTGCACTCATTTGTCCCCTTAGAACTCTAAAAGTGTCTTGCGGTGGAACGGGAAATCAACCAGAAAATGAACTTTCACTTCAACAATAACTCTAACGTCACCAACTTTACTGCTCCGAAGGAATTTTCTCTTCATTATAACCAAACAGAAGAAGTAGTTAAGAAGGTCGCGTTTTGGCTCATCATCATCGTTGGTTTTATGGGCAACTCACTGGTCATTATAGTAGTAAACCTGTTTCAAAGCATGAGAACAACTACCAACTATCTCCTGGTCAACGTTGCTTGTGCCGACGTCACGACTCTGTTGTTCACAGCAATGCTAAATGTAATCATGAGAAAAAACGGGTTAGTTACTTCCAAAGCTCTTTCAAGCTTCCTGTGTAAGTTCATCTACACCAACACAGTGGCGATTATTACGCTTCTGGTGACCGCGTTGACGCTTACAGTCCTGGCTGTCGAGAGATATCATGCACTGGTTAAACCCCTGATTTTATCACGTAGACTCACCATCAGCAAGATGGTTTACGTCATAACCGGAATCTGGTTGGCTGCCATAGTGATGGTAACTCCACTGTTTGCAACTCTGGACTATGATCCAAACAGGCGTTCTTGCAGTCATGGTGACGCAGACTATGAAATGATGATCTACATTGATTGCCTGATCGTCATTCTCACCTTTGTTCCATTCGCAGTGATCGCCTTTTGCTACACTCAGATCATCTATGGCATGTACTACAAGAACACGATTTGTGGTACTAAAAGTGAGAGGAGTGATACCAGGGAGGAAGCGAGAGAAAAGAGAAAATTAGTAACACTACTCATCCTGTTGACTATAGTGTTTTTCCTAGCCTTTGTCCCTTATGGCGCTTTGTTAATAATGCAAGTAAGTAATGTAAAACATACACCAACGTACCTCCGATACGGTTCACAATATCTCACTCTATTGAACTGCTCGGTAAATCCTTTCATTTATGGGTTTCAAAGTTCCAATTACAGACTCGCTTTCAAATTTCTTTTGAAGACAATTCTTCGCCGGGACGTCACTTATGAACGTTTTGAAATGCTTGAAATGCGGACCCGCACTTCCTCACGCACTGTGTGACTGATTCACCATCCTTGTAGAAGAGACAAGGGATGTACAATACTCTAAAAGCTCACTACAAGCACGCGCTCGGCTTTAAGCTGTTTCAGCGGATTTATGCACTAATTAAGTTAATGAGTATACTACCATACGTTTATTTAGCTGATGCATGAAGACGTTCCCTGCATGTACCGTACGAGCGGACACCTTAGATTTATAAAGACGAATCTGAAGTGGATTTTCCAGCCAAGAATTTAGCCACTCACCTTTCAATTAGTAAGTGCGTATATTCTAAGACCAGGAGTGGCATATTTTATCGGCTTAGGGGATGCTTTTCTTACGACCTAATGCCTTCATGGAGAGTCGTAGTTTAAACAGTAGTCCTGAAAGTTTGAACCTCGGCCACTAATTTGTAGAAAAATGTACTGAAAAGTTCAGAAGTTATTCATGTTTTTGCTCCAGAATCATAGATTGGCTTGCCAGACTGTGAGATCCTCCTTAACAATCTATACAGTAAATACTTTAGAAAGTTGCCAGATGGGTCAAGGACTTAAGCAACCGTCTGTAAACTAATTTTAAGAACAACAACAAAAACAAAATTTTTTATTTTCTTTCATTGTAAAATTACATGTTATTTTGCCCGCGGATAGCAAGTGTTAATCGAAGACGGCCATTTATCGCTTATAAATATAACTAGATTAATTAAATAACAGTAATAACAATTAATTTAAGATTAAATATATTGTTAATATTATTATCGTCTCTGCATATTAAGACTACTAAAATAAGATCTACATTGATTTAAGTTCTTATTCATGTATATCTACACATGCTATAGCAGTTAGCTAGTAGTTGTATAGATCACGTTTTTGTTTATAATACTCAATTTGAAATACTTTGTAACTAATTTTGATTTTTTGTATCATTTACAAAAAGAAAGGTAACTGTGGATTTCGGCCAATCAGATATTTACCCGGGAATGTCTACGATATCTATGTGAATTCCTTGTTATTATCCAATTTATATCTAATGTGTTTTGTCTACTACTCCCATTAATCCAGTTTATGCAAGTGGTATATCGATAATATTGACGTCTGAAAACAATAAATAAAGGTGATTTTGATAGATCGCTATACTTCTCCTACCTACTCCCCATACCTCTACAGTGTCATTTTCCCCATTTTACTACGTATTTATCAAAAGATAATTTAAAATTTCTTGCGATAGCCTGACCTGACGATTAATGAGCTACAACGAAATTTTACTGATATGTTCTGTAACTCTTCGAGGTTTGGTGCGCGAATAAAGAAAAGCTCAGCCGAAAACAGCACCGGGCGAATTTCGAGCTAAACTTTAAGCTTGCAATCCAACGTCCATCAAAGTTACTCTGTTACATGGACTAAGACAAAAGTCCAGCAAGGAGGCATTTTACCCACGGAGTTTCATTTGAGAAAATGCCTTATTGCGTGATGCTGAACCAGTTTTACTTGGGAGCACCAATCGGATTTACGTGATTGTCCAGCTGAGAAAAATTGAACAGGCCTTCTGATAAAACCCTTTGAGTATTGAATTGAAGAATCCGTTGTTTCACTTTCCCTAAATTAACCTGGCAGTAAAAAAAAAAAAAAAAAAAAAAAAAAAAAAAAAAAAAAAAAAAAAAAAAAAAAAAAAAAAAAAAAAAAANCCTCTGGTAAATTTACCCATGTAGCTGTTAGCGAGAGATTTAAAGCTCCCACGGCAACGTTCATAAAAACGCAAAGAAAATTTCCGAAGACTTCAAATCTAAACATGAAAGATACCACACCATAGTTTTCAACACGTTGCCACAAAATGTCTTTTTGTCTATTTAGCGTCAATCCTGTTTTACAAATTTTAACAATGACATCTCTACAAATTAAACTGACAGCTCATTCTTTGTTTCTGGTGAATTTGCCCAGGCATGTAGATGTGGGAAAACGAAAGCCCCATGGCCAACGTTCGTAAAAAACACACAGAAAAGTTCTGAAGACCTCAAGCCTGGTGTACACGATAAACATGAAAGATACGTACCATAATACCATCTCTTAATGAAAGACGCTGTAATTAAACGGAAAAAGCAATACTAAGAAAACTTTGGCCGAAAAACCTGCTAACTAAAAAAGCCTAGTGAAGAGAGCTTGCGTTGCGTTGGACGTGTGTTCCAACTATGGTAAGCAGCAATACAGTTGTACCCAATTTTATAGTAAACTTCTGTTGTATTGCGTTAAATTAGTTATTATTCGGTGGTTTTTGAGTGCTAGCTGATATTCATTTTTGTCCTTTGATAACAATGGTACCTCGTACCTTTCGAGGACCAAATAAACCGAATTCCATAGTAATTCCTTTCTCTCAAGGAAAATGGCTTTATTTCAGATGTTAGTATGAAACCTCCTATACGCTTGAGCAAGACCATCAAACAAAAAAGTCTGCTCTGATGTGAAGTATATATGAAATAATTCATATTTGAACTGCGGTTGTACATGAAAGTCTGCTCTATGATATGGCAAATTTAGTTGTGTAAGTTACCACATCGAAAATCTACATAAGCACAACAACTTGTCTTCGCACAATACTATACGGTTTTCTCTTGAGTGTCGAAAAAAACTGGCTATTTCCAAGATGATCCTTGCTTTCTTGTCGAAACGAGTCTTCGCGCAAAAGCATTTTCATGTATTGAAAATGTGTTTCACCCCTCTGAACACTTTCATTTGTGCAAGGTAATTTTATTTTCATACGACATGTGTCTTCATTTGAATTCATATGAAAAGACAACTCTGACGCAAATCAACTCTGAAGCAAACGGCAACTCTGGATCGGTCTAATCGCATTTGCATGGGTTTTGCACACCAATGCTACAAGATCGGCTTAAAATTAAAAACTCGCGCCACTTAAAACCAAAACCAATCATGACTCGCTCCATACGTTTTCCCTCGCTTTGCTTCAGGTACATCGATTTACTTGTAGTCTTAATTTTCCCAGTTGATTTTCTAATGGTGCACTAATTACATATTGCACGTAGATTTTAAAGCCTCATAGGCTAGGCTTCATATAAGTAGAATGTTTCCAAAAGTCACCGAACGTTTTAGACTAGAAAGTCATTATCAGAGTGAATTGTCCACTGTTAACAAGGTTTCTCACTGAACTGCAGCAAGCTGATGGGGCTTCAGACGGTATCCCTTCTTGTTCGTAGCTCAATGGCGTCAAACTCTTCCCTGGTATTTCGGAAGAGTATTTTCTTGAAGATGTACCTGAAGCAGCATCTGTAGTTGGTACTAGGGATAGCATATATGAATGGATTAATCGAACAGTTCAGAAGTGTCAAGTATTGCACTCCTATTTTAAAGCGACTAAAGATTCGAAGTTTTTCAACGTTGTCATTTGCCATTCTGCTAAACTGCAGAATCAGGGCTACTCCGTAGGGCACATAGGCCACGAAAAACACGGTTGTAAGTGCCATGAGAAGTATTACGATTCTTTTCTTTTCTGCCATCTCTTCTGGGGTGCTGATGCCTTGACCTCGGCTGCAAATCGTTTTCCCAAAATACAATCCCGAAATAATCCGAGAATAGCAGAAAGCGATGGCGAAGAATGGAATCAACGTCAGGATAACGACCAGACAGTAAACGTACACTTTCATTGCATCGAAATCGTTACCAGGAGAACAAAGGCTCCTGGAATTGGGACGATAGTCAAGAGACACGAAGAGGGGTGTAACCATTGCTATGGCGGCCAGCCAGATGCCAACTATGACGTAAGCAATCCTCTCATTAGTGATTCTCCTGGATATTACCAAAGGCTTGACCATGGCGTGGTATCTTTCAACAGCCAGGAGTGTCAGCGTCAATGTGGTAACAAGAAGTGTTACCATGGTAATATTATTGGTGTACACAAACTTACAAAGAAAGCTACCAAGAGCACCGGATGGGAAGGGACCTTTGATTGGGATGAGGTGCATTGCCGTGAACAGCAGTGTGGTGATGTCTGCGACCGCTACGTTGAGCAGGAGGTAGTTGGTGGTTGTTCGCATGCGACAAAAAATTATGATAACGGCAACGATGAATGAATTGCCGATAAGGCCCACCACTATGATGATCCAAATGAAGACCATACGCACCAAATAGTCAGGCTTGGGTCCAGTCGAATCGAACTTGAGAGCTACAGAGCTGTTGTTGACGGAAGCTGACATAGTTTGTGTCGTTTCACATAAGCATAGACCTCTTCTATTTAAAAGGGAGAAAAAAACGATAATGAGGAAAGCTTTGATGCATTTGCAAGGAGAGCTCTAGAAGGATCAACGAAATAATTCTTACTGGATACCCTTAAATGGGTTTTTAAATGAATTTAAAACACATAAAGACTTAATACATCGGTAGGCCATTAAAACTGAAAGGGCTTTCACAGCTCTCTTCAACTTTTGTAGAGTCAGTAAAGAGCATTTCGGTTAGTGACAGCAATCGTCATCCGCGGCGCTTTTGATGCGACTTTAACTTACTCATGATTATTCCTAGTTAATATCATTCGTCCATTTCAAGGCGACTAAAAAAGCGTCTATTATGTATATGTTGACTAGTTTAATACTGCCGTGAGAACACACGAGTCATGTATAATCTGGTGTTGCAGTGGATCAGACCTCAAAGCTTAGGTACGGAAAGTGGTCTGCACCGTTATTGCATTTGACAAAAAAAAATAAAAAATAATGATAATAATAAAAAATAGAAATAAAAAACTCTGACGATAAAAGCTTGTCTTTCTCCCCAAGACAGTCCACAAAGTTTAACATAGGCAAGACTTCTTTAAGTTTTCGTTTTAACTCAATCTAAAGGAGACAAACATCGGTTAAATGGCGTTAAACAAGGCAATAAAACGAGAAACCAGAAAATCTGCATAAAGATAACCTGAGTTCTATTATTTCTCAGTGATTTCTAAGAAACGGCTCCGAGGTATATTTTGGGATTGGATAAGTGTAATATAATTTATTAAAGCAATTTTTACGGTTTAAGGAGAGTTTTAACAAAAAATAAATAGAAAAAGCAACCTTACAAGGAACGAATTAGTTTAAGTTCTTTACAAAGAGAGTGCATTCCTTGAAGGCGTCCATTGTAGACGCTTCTGAAAAACGTTGAGCGAAATTTATGCTTTCTGGACTTTCGGCAATTACCATTGGGTTTGAGTGTAGTATTTGAATTATCAAAGCATTATGAACAATACCGACTTTAACTTTGACTGAAAGTTCCCAGAAAAAAAAAAAAAAAAAAAAAAATGCACTCACCGAGAGAGCTAAGTAATATCAGTGCTTGATGCCTAAAAGCAAGTCAAAAATTGGTTTTAATGTATGTGGAATTGAAGTTTTTCTTTGTGGCAGATATAATTAACTTTAATTTAAAGTCTTAAGGTCGCAATGTTTCACAAAGGGCATAGAAAGTTTGCATTAAGAGGATAATGCCTTACTCCATCCGCTCGGTCCACAAACCTCTTTTGTCTTATCCTTGATTCAGATGTTACTGGCAAAGATAAAATCAAGCCAAACTCGCCGATTTGTCACTTCCGATTGCACGATAATGTCTTGCTTTTTCCGCTTGAAATTTTTTACCAGATGAAACAAACATTGCAAAACTCTCTAATTTATTCTTTTTTCGGAAACATAACAAAAAAGGTCAAAAATAATGGATGAAGAACTTTTCCCGGTAACGCTCATTTCATATGATTTATACTCTGTTGTTAATCAAATATTATTTGTAAAGTAAAAATTAAATAATCAAGAAATGCGAAAAAAATATGAAAAAATAGAATGACCCTCTTACAGTTGTGTACACAACCACTTTCTTTAAAAGATGCAAACAAAAATATGTTCCTTAGAGAAAATGGAAAATAAACCAACTAAACCATTAGTTCTTTCTGAAAATTTGATGGAAACAAAGCAAAATGCAAAGTGTTCTCGCTAAATTAATCGAAATTTATGTTTATAGGAAACAATATTAACTTCAGTGACCACGCAGGTGTATGTTATCATTTTCTATTGAAGAAATCACCATGAAGGCGCCGAGAATTGCGGTTTCATATATTTAAAAGCGCTGTGTTTGAAACAACTTCTTTCTTAAAACTAAGCTGATGATTGCAGCTCTTTGAATAATAATAAGCATCAAATGGAAACATAAAATCGAAATTTTTGACCCGCCGCTGAAAAAATAGGAACTATTCACATGCTTAATGGACCAAGTCTAAAACAAAAAAAAAATCGTTCGATTTCCTGATATATACGTTTGAATCTTCGTGGTAAATATAGATTTTTATAAAATAAATCTTTTCGTTGGAGGAGCTTAGTTGTTACAGCTTCACGTCCTTAACCCACCTCCGATATTTTGACCGTTAAAAGCTTCTTTCCTATAAAATATCACTAAAAGTACTCTATAGAACATAATGGGTTTGTTCTGTATAAGTTGCTGAAAATAAACAAATACCAACCCCCTAAAATCTTGAAAAGTAAGTAAGGGAAATATAATACCTTCTGTTATCCCTAATGCTTTGTTGACCACAGAAAATATATTGATTCGAGATAGGGAATATAAGAGGTGATGACGCAACGAACGCAAACCTGTTTTGTAAGAAAAATATTTATTTGCTACGAGTGAGAACCAATAAGCTGTCAGCGGAGAAAAATTAACGGATATCTGATGACAGAGTTGATAAGTGACTTGATAAGTGCATCTATAGGAAATAAGTATAAGTAACAATAATTGCAAACGATTCTGTTATCTATGATCATAAGGGCGATTTTTTAAAAATTACGACCGCTGAAAAAATAAAAGTAATTGAAAGTTTTTTCACGTGTTGGGCTGAATATCCGATCGTAAATTAATTCAAAGTTAGGCAAACCAGGCTTCCGTAAAGACTTACATTTTATCATAGTCAATAGAGGGGAATGATTATGAAACCCGACAAAGTTCTTTGCTATATGTTTTTGTTCACTTTTTTGGCCATAACCGCGCACAAAACACAATAGTTGTTTACTCCGTCCTGAGGAACTAACCAGTTGACACGTGTTGGCTACGAAATTCATGCGTAGTGTATGAGCGCAATACAAAAGATTGTGCACGGTCGTGGACCTTCCAACATAAATCTTGGCATCTTTGTTTGCACCTTTGATGTTTGCCGGGCTTCATAACCAGTCCCCTTTATTAACTATGCATTTTATCGAACAGCGGTATATCAGTTTGCTTCAGTATGCTAAAACTGAGTTTTGTGTGCACGTCGAAAATGCAATTGCTTTTTGTTTTTACTTTTCTTGAATATTATTTCATATTCTGAGCTGATAATCGGGCAGTATTGATTGTACTTCAATTTGAGTTATACACGATAAATTGAGCTGTTTTGTTTTCTATTCAACACTTCGCGAAACGTTCCGTTTGCCAGTTAACCTCCATTAACTATGACCTTAGTGTGCATTTTTTGTCAAAAATTATAAAAAGTTATCCCATTAACCATGGTATCAAACCTTTACAAAAAAAGTAGAAACGTTCCGGAGGATCTAAGGGTCTAATTTGAAAACGAAGCTTTATTTCTACGGTCAGGCCTACCGTCCACACTAATCCGTCACGATAACGAAGCTTTTCGACGAAACGCTCTTCAGTCAAACCGGAGGAATTTGAAAACGCTGCGTTTTCGTTTTGGTGTGGACGGACACATTTTTGAAGCGGAGCCTTTCGAAAACTGAACGTCACCATAATCATGTGATTTCTCCGTCCGAATTTTCCTCAAGCGCAAATTAAAAATGACCGGTGATTGTTGCGTTTTTAAATTCCTCCAGTGTATATAGTGTGGACGGAAGACATTTGGTGCGTTGTCAGTGTGAAATCTCCGTATTCAAATCCCACCTGCCAAGTGTGGACGGGCCTAAGCTTTGCTGGTCGTGGGTACTCTCGATGGTCAGGGTAGATTCGCGAATCAGTTTTGCGTGTAAAAATACAAATTAGAAAAATAGATAAATTACAAATAAAAAAAGATAAATACGATGAACAGAATAAGTTTCTACAGAGCTACCTCTCGCCGAAAAAAAAAAAATCTTCGAAGTCCATACTAGTTCTGACTGATTTGCACTTATTCAAAACAAAAACCTGTTCCTTAAAGAAAATATAAAGCAAAACAATAAGTTATTTCTGACAATTTTATCAGAAAGAACTAAGTGTAATGTTCCATGCAAATGATGCATGCGAATTACTCATAAAAAAGCTAGCTGGAAGATTAAAGTAGATCTGCATCACCAGCCGAGCTGGTCTATTGGTCTAATAAAAAAAATTGGTGCAATTGGAGCAATTGGTCTAATAAAAAAAATATATTTTCCGTTCCTAAAATCCGGATTTTATCAGCTATCTAAACCTGACAAATTTGTCAAATTCTGAAAGACGCCTTGCTAGATCAGTTGCTTATGGCAAAATCAGAAATGCTGTAGTTGTTCCCTAGAAGTTAGTTTTGTAAACTTGTTTGCAATCCCATGAGCTCAAGATGTCTTGCTATTGAATACTTATCTAAAAGAGCCAACACAAGTGTCGGGAATCTAACATGTCAAGTTTTAAAACTGGTCGCAATTGCAGCATATACGCACGAAACAATCTAATTGAAATTGTTGTAAGACAT